ACTTCCACCAACAATAACTTTAGACTTGTGTAAGAAACTTTCCCAAATCTTCTGAAAAACAAAATTCAGCAGACGTTTATGAAGAACCTGTGCAAAATATGCTGACAAACTTCAAGAATTTAGTTACTATGAGCAGAAAGGAACACTTCCTCCACAGCCAACTAGACAGATTTCCACATAATCTTTGTGAGATAAATGAGCAACAAGGGGAGAGGTTCCATAAAGATATAAGGTGGAAAGGTATCAAGGCAGACGGAACACACACACACACACACACACACACACACACACACACACACACACACACACACACACACACACACACACACACACACACACACACAGCAGACTATTGCTGGAGCCTCCAGCGGGACTGTGCTGATAACCAACATAGAAGAAAATCATGTACAGTAATTAGTGTATCTGAATTATCTTACTATTTTAATCTGTTATTATATAGAATGAAGTGCTAGTATGTATTTCATGATTTGACTTTTGCATGATCTAAAAAATATTTTCAACGCGATTTGTAAGTTAGCCTCGCCAGATCAATATATATTTCGCAACTTTTATGTTTTTTCAATAAGATACCGTGTTTATCAAAAACTAGAGCCAGTCAAGATAAACTGACAACATATTTGGAATCAGCACCACCACCGTACCCTAAAATCGGTGTAATTCATTGGCCAGAATATGAGTGTTGACCAGTTATTAATTTAATTCATTACAACACTGACCGTCCTCATAAGTTGGTGGTAAGATCCTCTGGTTGGGAGTGTTGCTCTTGCCCCAGGATGGGTTAGCAAGGTTGTTGCAGGATCCATCAGCAGTACGGTACTTGGAGTTAGGACTAGTGCAGCTGGGATCCCGTGGACACATGTCTTCCAGTTGTGTACCGCTCACTGCTGTGGACTTCAAGCCTAGTCCTCCTTGTCGCGGTGTCAGGTCGAAACTGCAAATGTCAGCCAAAGATTAGAAATATTCTGCTGTGACTACGTATTTTCGCACTTAACCCATTGTTTTATTTAAAGGAAAGAAACGTTTCGGACTATAAATTTCGTACAAAGGTATAAATATAGTGAATTCCCAGCAGCCCTTCATAGCTCGACTTTAAAGAGCTTTAATGAGGATGTACAGATTAGTATGACACATTTACATAAAACATTTTATATCCCTTTCAAAAATAGCATTAATATGACCACGTGCAGCTTTGTTTTGCTACATACTCATTTGCAAGTTGTCTAGAAGCTGCAAGAATAGCCAGAGCCCTGCGATCCATCTCCTTTGCTCCTTCATCGATGATGAAGACTCGTAGATGTTGACCAGCCGGTGAGAACACGGGCAGGACGAGGGAGTTCCTGTGTTGGGTGAGAACACTGAGTGCATGGTTCCAGTGTTGAGTGAACAGGGAACATTGTGAGTGCATGTTTTCTGTGTTGGGTGGGCAAGGAACACTGAATGTATGGTTCCTGTGTAGGGTGAACAGGGAATATTGTGAGTGTATGGTTCCTGTGTTGGGTGAACAGGGAACAATTGTGAGTATAGGTGCTTGTGTTGGTGTGAACAGGAACATTGCGAGTGTATGGTTCCTGTGATGGGTGAACAAGGAACATTGTGAGTGTATGATTCCTGTGTTGGGTGAACAGGGAACATTGTGAGTGTATGGTTCCTGTGATGGGTGAACAAGGAACATTGTGAGTGTATGATTCCTGTGTTGGGTGAACAGGGAACATTGTGAGTGTATGGTTCCTGTGTTGGGTGAACAGGGAACATTGTGAGTATATGGTGCTTGTGTTGGGTGAACAAGGAACATTGTGAGTGTATGGTTCATGTGTTGGGTGAACAAGGAACATTGTGAGTATATGGTGCTTGTGTTGGGTGAACAGGGAACATTGTGAGTGTATGGTTCCTGTGTTGGGTGAACAAGGAACAATGTGAGTATATGGTGCTTGTGTTGGTGGGAACAAGGAACATTTTGGTAGTGTATGGGTTCCTGGGGTGTTGGGTGAACAAGAGAACACAAGTATAGGTTGTGAGAAGGGAAATAATGATGTTTTCTTGATTTTGAATTAGTTGAGTCGCTCATCATTCGTTCTGCGTCCCACTTCCTGGAAGTACTCTCATTCTCTTCTTCTCTCTTCTTTCTTCTCTCTCTCTCTCTCTCTCCTTTCTCTCTCTCTTTCTCTCTCTTCCTTTCTCTCTCTCTCCTTTCTCTTCTCTTCTTCTCTCTCTCCTCTTCTCTTTCTTTCTCTCTTCCTTTCTTCTCTCTTCTCTCTCTCTCTCTTCCTTTCTCTCTCTTCCTCTCTCTTCTTCTCTCTCTCCTTTCTCTCTCTCTCTCTCTCTTCCTTCTCTCTCTCTCTCTCTCTTCCTCTCTCTCTCCTCTTCTCTCTCTTTCTCTCTCTCTCTCTTCCTTCTCTCTCTTCCTTCTCTCTCTTCCTTCTCTCTCTCTTCCTTCTCTCTCTTCCTTCTCTCTCTTCTTCTCTCTCTCTTCCTCTCTTCTCTTCTCTCTCTTCCTTTCTCTCTCTTCCTTCTCTCTCTTCCTTTCTCTCTCTCTCTTCTCTCTCTCTCTTCCTCTCTCTCTCTTCCTCTCTCTCTCTTCCTCTCTCTCTTCTCTCTCTCTCTTCCTCTCTCTTCTTCCTCTCTCTCTCTTCCTCTCTCTCTCTTCCTCTCTCTCTTCCTCTCTCTCTCTTCTCCTCTCTTCCTCTCTCCTCTCTTCCTCTCTCCTCTCTCCTCTCTCTCTCTTCCTCTCTCTCTCTTCCTCTCTCCTTCCTCTCTCTCTTCCTCTCTCTCTCCTCTCTCTTTTCCCTTTTCCCTCTTCCTCCTCCTCTTCTCTCTTCTTCTCCTCTCTCTCTTACTTTCTCAAAATTTTTCTTATTTGATAAGGCTTTTCTCGATTCGTCCCTTTTGCGATAAAGTTCTGTCCTATTTATTGACTTTTTTCCATTTTGCTTTCACCCAGCTTGTATACTAAACACTAGCGGGTGCAAAAGATATTTCGATATCGATGCCCCTGGCCTAAAAAACCGCAACACGCCGCAAGATGAATAACTTTTAAAGGGACTGACCCCCTCAAATATTTTTTCCCCCAAAGGGTTTGATGGACTGTTTTCATCATTTTTATTTCACTACAACCACATTCCCTCCTTTTTTTGCTGACGAAGCCACGTGTAGGCAAAAAAAACGTTTCATCAAAATCCTCAACGTAGTGGGTTTGCTTACTTCCCAACAGCAGCGCAGAGGGGGGCAGCAGACCCGGGGGAACCCCCAACCACCAAGGTACAGCTCTGCTGGATCGAACCAAACACCACACACATCCTCTTTAAATAACTCATTTCAGCGCATTGTTGTATTTATTATACCTTTTCCTCATAAATGCACGTGTGATGGAAGCATGTTTTACGTATACTCCACATAAAAATTTTTTTTATGTTGTAAATTCAATTTAATTACAATTCATAGGGGACTATATGTGGAGTATCCCTGGGTGTATCTTGATAATCGGGGGATACCTGAATAATCTGGTATACCTGGTACATCTGGTATATATGCATACCTGATATACCTAGTTATCTGGAATATATGCAGTAACCTGAAGTAATCGGGAGTATCCCTGAATATCCCTGGGTATCCCTAGAGTATATCGAGTAACCTAAGTATATCTGGAGATACCTGGAGTATATTTGGGCTTATGAGTTTTACTCCCATCTCCATTTTTTTTTAAAACTTTTTAATAACTGTACTGCCCCTTTTTTTTCTGCGTGTAGTGCTGGGGCCCACACTGACCTATGTGCCAGTTGATGGATACGTCTCACTAGACTCAGAATTTTTCCTATTATATCGTCCATTACTCTGCAGTTTCTCATGACAAAGCACTATGCAATCAGTGTGAAAGGCTTGATTTGTAATTATCATCATTTGTTTACCATACCTTACACATGCAATAAATAAAAATAAAAATAAAAATATATATATATATATATATATATATATATATATATACACACACAAACACTGATCTCTGGCTGAAGGAGACTCGAACCTACGAACCTTGGAACAAGGTACGCAGTGCCTTACCATCCTCACCACACTGGACAATACCTTGGCGTGCAGCTTGCGCTAGACTTTGATCCAAGGCAGCCAGCTTTCAGGGAGAAGGCTTACAGCTTTTCATCTCATCCCCTACATGCATCAGCCTTACTAGAGATTTTAACAATGCAAGGAATTCGCAAGACTAGGCGAAATATACACAAACACTGATCTCTGGCTGAAGGAGACTCGAACCTACGTACCTTGGAACAAGGTACGCAGTGCTTTACCATTATCATCACACTGACAATACCTTGGCGCCCAGCTCACGCTAACCCTTAGACTGGGTTAGTGATTGGTGCCAACCCCACCCTACCATCATCCCCCTCCCCCCCCATATGAGGTAGGAGGGTTTCTGAGATGTCAAATATGAAAATCCAAAATGGGGGGGAGGGGATGATGGTAGGGCGAGGTTGGCACCGACACTAACCCGTCTAAGAGTAACCGTGGCCAGTGACACCTACGCTACTCTGGGACCTCTCTCCCTGCTTTGGTTGCTCCCTTGCAACATGCACAGCTCCTGATGACGCACTGAGAAGTGTGAAAGTATTTGACCTAAAGATTTCCACCCCTCCCCTCCCGTGGCTTGTTCTGTATAGTTAAGATCGCCTGTCTGCGATTGTTTGCATATATATATATATATATATATATATATATATAATATAATATAAATATATATATATAATATATATATATATAATATGTGTGTGTATGTGTGTGTGTATGTTGTGTGTATGTGTATGTGTTGTGTGTGTGTGTGTGTGTGGTGTGTGTGGTGTGTGTGGTGTGTGTGTGTGTGTGTGTGTGTGTGTGTGGTGTGGTGTGTGTGTGTGTTATAAATATGCTAACAGTAATATATATAAAAATAACTGATTACAATTTATAGACGAAAACTCTCACAAGATTACCAGATCCAGGAACTGAGCGCAGGACACAAGGTACACACAGTTGCAACCACTGCTTCCTGGAACACCTGGTACCCCTCCTGGACCCCCTCCTGGACCCCTCCTGGCCTGCCTCCTGGCCTGCCTCCTGGCCTGCCTCCTGGCCCCCCTCCTGGCCTGCCTCCTGTTAAAAAAAAAAATAGTTTAAATCAATAAAATATTTCACAGGCAAAAAGCTTACACTTTGAAGTTAACACTTAAAATACATATTTTCGTCACTTCTCTCTCCCGCTACCTCACTCGCTAGTATCATATTATTGATGGTAATCAATACCGATAAGTTGGTAAATAAGACACATTTGCAGCACTTTATTATATTGACGAAATGTTTCGTCTGCACAACAGGCTTCCTCAGCCGAATACAAGTGAATGCTGCAGTAGAAGGTGGTAGTTAGTACCGCAAGCCTAAAGTATAGGCAAGCGGTTGCAGTGCTTCTACAGAATTCCTCAGCCACTGACACTTAATCCCATATGTCCCTTTTCCTCGAAGCTCCAACGTCACCAGAAAGAAAACTATGTAATGATTGAGAAAGCTGCATTAGCTCTGGTGGTGGCGTTAGAACACTGACGTATACATGGGCACTTCTCAGTTCACAATTACACTATTTTCCGACCACAACCCTCTCACCTTTATCAGTGCAATGAAACAAAAACAAGCTACAATAATGAGATGGGGTCTCCGTATCCGGTATCAATGTCCGTATCCATATCTGGAAAAACAGGTGGGACATGAACTTTTGACCATCCCAAAAAATGCCGCACCCACATGGCAACAGAAGGGTGCAACTTCCCTTCCTGTAACTATTTCACCCTGAAATGTGTCACCCCCGTCACTCCATGAAAGAAATGCTACAACGTATACTGCCAGGCACATCATCTAAAGGTGACAAGAAGACACAGATCACCCATACCATGGGAAGCAAAAGAGGGGGGGGGCGAAAACCTCTCCAGAGAAGGTTTTTTAGGGCCAGGAAGGAAAAGAGACTGGCAAGAAATGACAGAAATCCTACACCAACTGAAAACATTTCTGAAACAGAAGCACAGACATTGGCCTCCCACTCCAGAACACAAATTAATGCAGCAAACAAACTTCCCCTAAATTCCACCAATATAATGACATTTATCTTTGCAAACATACAGGGTCTTAATCAACAAAATTCCTTACATCAAAGGACTACTCACGGAGTCAAATGCAATGTCTGCAGCTTTCACATAGACCCACATAAAGGATCATTTTAACAACGAAATATGGATCCCAGGTTATAACCTATTTAGATGCGACAGGCTAAACAGCATCAAGGGAGGTTGGCTTGTACGTCACAAGTCGCTCATTTGCTTAGAACTACTAAACACCTCAAATGATGTAGTTGAAAGTTTTGGAGGTAAAGATTGAAAACCAAAACCTTGTCATTGTGGTTGTATACAAGTCTACGGATTCAATTTCCCAGCAATTCCAGGAACAGCTTATGAAAATTGATCACTGTCTTGAAAATCTCCCAACTCTTGCCCCAAACATTTTGCTCCTGAGGGATTTCAGCTTGAGACAAAAAATGGAGGAGTGTAGCAAATAATATTTTAGCAGATCATCCCAGGAGGGCAGCTCACACGAGCTATTAAATCTCTGCACCAGATTCACCTAAGCCAGCAAATAACTTTTTTTTTTTTTAAACAACACACATCATACATGTATGCTATACTTAGGTTACATAAAGAAACGTGATCCATTAAATAATAAAAACAAACAACTTCACATTCCTTATCCCAGCACTAAACTTATACACAAGAAAAACACGTTCAACTGTAAATGCTTGATTCTCCCTCCAAAGTGCCCAACCAACACACACAACATACATGTAACTAAAAACAGCCCACACCTGTACATACAGGTGGGTTTATTATATCCATAAAATACAGCCAGTATCTTATAACACAAAAGGCAATATAATCCAAAGAATGTCACACTTATTTACATTATATATGAAACTTTATAAACAAAGACATTCTCATATAATCCAATTCGTTGCACACTCATTAATATTGTATATTAAACTTTATAAACAGACATAATACTAAACACCTCAAAAATTACAATATAATAAAGGTGACAAAATAGCCATTTCCACACCTTACCACAAACTAAACACACTATTAAAATAAAGATACACACTCATGTTACATAGCACATTATTATTAGTGTGTTAACAATACTTTGCGTGTTCCTTCTTGTAGTTGTCTCACTGACAAAGATCATTTACCTTATTAAAACTATGATCATCAATGACCTCTTGTCTTTCAACACATGGTTAAACTAAAACATTCACACAAGAAAACTCCAGTTACACCACATCTGACATGTCATCCCTCCCATACAACTCTCATGACAATCCTACCACATTTACATATCCTTCATTATGGTCATAATTCGCTCTAGAAAAGGAAAATGGTCCCTTAGTACTTAAGTAGCCAAATTACTGAGTCCCCTTACCGTTATATTTCTATATGCCTCCGGGAACGCAGTCGCCCACCTGTTACCATAAATGAGTTTATTTCTGCATACCGTGCGATAAATTCCTGCCGCAATTGCCCTTACCCTAATCCCCCCACCTTTTTCCTTCAAGCCCCAGGAATAAAACAAGAAATCTGTCACAATGTACAGAATGGCTCTTTTTACAACCTCAGACATCCCCCTTACCTCTAAAGTTAGGGCACGCAGAAGTTCTACATTGCCCCCACCCATTAACTTGAAGACTCTAGCCAGCCACACCCGTACCTGCCCCAACTCCCTACAAAAATATACGGCATGAAAAGCTGTTTCCGATTCCTCACAATGTTCGCATTTCGCCTCCTTTACCAAACCCATCACACACAAAGCCTGCTTTGACGCTAAAATCCCCATTACAAACCTATAAACTAACTCCCTTACCCTAGGCATTAATTTAAGTTTTTGGAAATCATGCCAAATCGTACCCCAATCATACAAAGGGTATACCGCCACCCCTTGCATCACTTCTGGTTTCCTACTTATCTCTACCAACCTTCCCACCTTGAGCTTTTTTACCTCACCTATTACTAACATAACCCTTAGCATATTCTCACATTCCATCAAGTCCTTTCCTCCCCACCATCGTCGTACATCCCTCATCACCCTCCCAACCCTCACCCCTTTTACCCCCCCCCCTCCCTTACGTACTTTTGTTTAACATACATGGCCTTTACCCTCGGCCCTAGCATCAAAAGCCCTACTCCCCCTCTGCGCACATTCGTCATAACCACCTCTTTACTTAACCATGCTCGTCCAAAACCCCATATATAACGAAGCACCCTTCTCTGTATCTTCTTTATCTCCTGTTCCCGTAAAGGATACACCACTGCCACGTTCCACACTTTACTATAAACCAATGAATTTATTATTATTGCCGTTTGCATTAGAGTAACATCCTTCGCTCTTAGGTTCCTAATCCGTTGTACAACTTTCTCTCCCACCAATTCTGAATTCCTCCGTCTAGCCTCTTGCTCATCTGCCATATAGATAATCCCACAAATTTTCAGCTGTTCAGTCACATCCCATCCAAACTCCACCCCATTCTACCCCCCACCCAATCTCCTATCTCTAATAATTTCGATTTAGCCCTGTTGACACGCATGCCTGACGCCTCTCCAAAAAACCTCATTACTCTCTCCACCTTTCGCAAACCTTCGACATCATTGATCAGTATTGTTGTGTCATCTACATAACCAACTACCTCTGTGAACCCCGACCCCTCCTCCTGTAACGTTGTTGCTTCCTCAACCATTCCATAAAACGGGTGTTGCATACATGCAAACAGAATTTGAGACATAGGACACCCTTGTCTCAAACCTTTCTCCATTTTCAACACGCTACCCAACCTACCATTAATTTGCACCTGAATCGTAGCTTCTGCATACAAGGTCTTCACCCATTTTACTATTCCCTCCCAAAACCCATAAGCCTTAAAGTGTCAACCATGTACTCTCTATTCACAACCGTCATAAGCATTCTCCCAATCAATGCCCAAAATTCCACCACCCTACAACCCTGCAAAAATTCCCTAATACGACATGTCCATCCCTCATACTACGACCCGGAATTCCCAACTGACCCTGTGCACCATACCACCTATTACCTTCATCCTGTTCCCTAAAATCTTCGCAAAAATCTTATAATCCTTTACACATTAAAGATATGGCCCTGTACGTGCTCAGTGTTCTCCCCTCGCTTTTTTCTTTACAAGCACGACCACACCCGTCCTCTGGGCGTTCCCAATTTCCCTTCCTTCAGCATACAATTCAATATCTGAACCAAACAAACATTTATGGTTTCCCAATGCACTCTGTAAAAATCATTGGAAAGCTCATCAATTCCCGTGCTTTCCCCTTACTTAAATTGAACACTGCCTCTTTCACTTCTTCCATACTTATTATTCCCTCCAATCCCCCTCTGTCCTCCCCACCTTTCCCCAAGACCTTCACCCCTCCTCTTCTTTATTAACTACCCCAATTACCTTTTTTCCCATTTCCTTTTAAACCAATAGTCCGCATAATTACTTATCCCCTCAGTTGTCACCAACATTTGCCCCTTAGTATAACCTTCCAAATCGTCACTAACCTCTAAAAGTATTATAGTGGACTCCTGTTGTCTAATGCGAAAACTTCTTAACACACTACCCGACGGTTTATCTCCCCATAGCACGGCATCCATACCTGCCCTTACCCTTAATTCATCACATCTTTCATTATGCATGTCCCTTAGTCTCCCTCTTAGCCCTGATATTTCTTCAAAAGACTTCCCCTCATCTCTTGCGTAACACTCATTGAGCTGCTGTTCCAAATAATTCTGTAAACCGTACCTCCACCTCGCCTCCTCCCTTCCTTTATATTTTTTAAAACCCCGCGATACCAGGTTTAGCCCTATTTCCCACCAATCCAAAATACTCCCTACCCCATCCCTTGCCCTCCACAAATTTTCTCCACCAGTCTCTAAACTCTGCGTTCACCACCTCACTCCTCACCAACCTCGCATTTAACTTCCAGAAACTTGAATATACCTTTACCACTTTCCCTCCCAATCCAGTTCTACCAAAACTGCCCTATGATTCGAAAACCCTACGTCCACTGTTTTTTACCCCTCCTACCCTAACTGCCTCCGTTATATAAATCCTATCTAACCTCGCTGAATAATTTCTCCTAACAAAAGTGTAATCCACTCTCCAAGCCCCACTCCCCTCCACGTCCCTCCCCCCCTGCATCCTGTAAAACATTGCGTAACGACCGTAATACACAACCCCGCCCCCCTTGGCTCCACGTCATCCCCCCTTATAACAGTTCCAGTCCCCCCCCCAATTACAGTTACTAGAGGTAAACCCCTTAAAAAATACACTAAAACGTCTCTCACAAAATCCTCTTTTACTTTGATTATATTCTCTGCTGGCATATAAACCCCAATGAAACATACTCTAGATGCTCCCCACTCACCATCCACCCTCACTACCCTCCCCCCCCTTCTTCCCACTTTATAATACGTAAGGGACTATTTTCCTTCACAGCCACTGCCACTCCCCCTTTTAACCTAACAGACCCACTTACATACAATTTATAACCCTTTAATGCCAAAGCACAGCCTATCTTATAATTATGTTCTTGTATAAAGCATACACCACATTATATCTCCTCAAAAACCATTCCATCCATACTCGTTTCACTTCATTCTTCAATCCATTTACATTTACAGTTACTATCGTGAATTACTTTAATAGTGGGGGTTTACCCTTTCTTCTGGCACACACCCCCTATACCGTCCTGCTGTATGGCATCTTTCTTGACAGCTTGCTTATTCACCCCCCCCTATCCCTTCATTATCCCTAGAACCATTAAACCCTACATTTCCCCTTCCCTCTTTCCCCCTTATGACATACATCCTTTCTCCAAGATTTTACTCCTGTTCTTTGTCCTGGAGTAAGAACATCGTCCATCTCAGACGTTCCTGCAGTTCTCTTACGAGAACTCCCCTCCCCACACACCTCGTCACCTGTCTTTTCTGCCCTATGGACCTCTGCCACAACGTTGTGCACATTAACATTAGTGCACACAGTATTCCTAACCTCCTGATCTTGCTGCACAGTTGCCTGCACCAGGTTACACCCTTCATCCACCTGTCCCTCTTCAACGTCATGCAAAAAGGAACTAAGTACTTCCTCCAGCAAGCCATCCTGTTGGCCCGTACCCTCCTCATCAGACGTCGATGTCGTCTGTCCCTTATCAACTGTTAGTGTTACACTTTCCTCCATAGTCGCCTCAGCCCTGTCCACTTCGTCACTCCATCGGCAAGGAATCTTGTTTGGCCTTACTCCTTCCTCCGACACCTCCAGAGCATTCCTCTGATGTAAGATCACTGGTACCCGTTCCCTCCGTCCAGCTTTTTTTATAGCATTGGGCCGCCATATGTTCAAAAGAACCACATAATCTGCAAGTCTTCCGCTGCCCTGAGTAGTACACGTAGACCTGCGTTCGGAAGACCTCCATAAATACGTATGATGGAATTGGCTGCCTCAACGTCATTTTCAGCGTAAATGATCCTTCAGGTAGCCCCTCATAAGGTCCATTTTGCCACACCCCCATCACTGCTGAGTGGATTTCCCATAGCTGTTAAACACCGCCGTCACATCATGCTCCGTCGCCTCAAAAGGCACGTTTCGTACCTTCACCCACGTCACATAGCTGGACACATGTAAGCAGACTTCCACCATAGTGTTCACTGCTAGCCTCTTCTCTTGATATTTGTTGACTATGCTTGTGTAGAATCCTGCGTCTTTAAACTTGATGAAAATTCTCGACACACCATTGACTGCTACTCCATATAATTCTTCGGTCGGTATTCCATATACCTCACTGATGATGGCATGCAGTAACACGTGCATGGTTGTTCCTGTAAGCGTGCCACGCACCAATTCCACACAAACAGTGCTCACCCGGCGTCCAATGCGATCCGCCATGTTGTATGCACAAAACAGGAAAACTGCGCAGTAAACCAGTTGTATCAGGAGCTACTGCGCAGCCTGTCCGCACGGCACAATAGCGATGCGAACAATCATTCCAGGAACAGCTTATGAAAATTGATCACTGTCTTGAAAATCTCCCAACTCCTGCCCCAAACATTTTGCTCCTGAGGGATTTCAGCTTGAGACACCAAAAATGGAGGAGTGTAGCAAATAATATTTTAGCAGATCATCCCAGGAGGCAGCTCACACGAGCTATTAAATCTCTGCACCAGATTCACCTAAGCCAGCAAATATTAGAGCCTACAAGACTAGAAAATACGCTGGACCTCATTTTCACTAACAATGATGATCTGATATGCAATATAACAGTAACAAAGACAATACACTCAGATCACAACATAACAGAAGTACAGATATGTATCACAGGGTTCCTGACCAGAAAAAATGTGATCAGTTATGAGGGTGCCTTCACAAAATTCAACTTCAGTAACAATGGGAACAGGTAAACCATATCCTAATGAAACAAGCTGGGAGTGTGTGAGTTGGGAAGCTGAGACGATGGACATTGAAGGAGGGACAGTGTTATGACCCATTGTCACTGAAGTCCCACATGTCTCCGAGGTACATATATTAAGTAAGTATAATTATTTTAATGTGCCAGAGTTCTCCCCAGTTATGTGGGTGAAAGATTTACTCAAGATTGCTCTTTCAAAATTCACCCATATAATCTCACACAGAATAACTAGACTAGAATTATATCTAACAAACTAACAAAACCAGTAACAGACTAAATGCTAGAGGGGATCAATAAGTTGACCTAGTATTCTATGGAGATATGTTTTAATAGATGTCGCGTATTGTATTAATACTGATCAAAAGGCGGCCACAGTAGCCCCCACTATAAGTGAATAAGATATTTAACATGTGTGGCATCCCGGAGAGGATTCACGCTGATAAAGGTGCCCAGTTACAGATGCATTCTGTAACTGGGCGCCTTAAAGTCCCCCATGTGCAGTATACAAGGGAACTTTTTTAAACCTGCACGACCCCCCATCATCCCACCGGAAACAGTGTGAGAGTTTCCACATTACATTACATCACTTTCTATAAACCCTACCAGACACTTATGCAACATATGGGAATCTTTATTGAGGAAACATGTCGCCACACAGTGGCTTCATCAGTCCAATACAACATTTGTCCAGCCTTTGGACGAGGACCTACTTACACTAGTGGATGGTTCCACTATGACCCCGCCTCCTCCTGCTCCGCCTCACCTGACTACAGCATATAAGCCACGTCTACGGCCCTATGCTGTACATTCTACCAGATTGATGGACTGAACACATCGACTCCAGGCTGAGGGACTGGTTACCTCAAACTCCTCTTCTCCTTACACCTTTCTGCTTTGTATTGGACTGATGAAGCCACTGTGTGGCGAAACGTTTCCTCAATAAAGATTCCCATATGTTGCATCAGTGTCTCAATCTTCAACTTGTCGGTTTTTCAAACCATTCATCACATATAAACCCTACCAGCCAAGCATTAGCGACAGCGGGCGAAACATATAGGGCCAATTTTTCGTATAAGACCTCGAGCCCCATCACTTGGTTCTCCCCCACTACCTTATTAATGGCAAAGAACAGTGATTGACTCAGGATCTATTACTAGGTGGAGCAGATGGGGAAGAGAACACTTGTGACGACTAACCCTCACTGCTCACCAGTGTTGTGTTACCATCACTGACTACATGTTTACACCTTCACTGCTCACCAGTGTTGTGTTACTGTCAAGCTCAACAAGATCGTCTTACTTATAAGAATATAATATACAAGTGTGACAAGTACGTCTGTTTACTGAATGGCAACTGCCCGCCTTCTAAATGCCAGGAGGTGCTGAGCAGAATTTTATGGTTATGAAAAACTCGGCGACCTATTGAATGTTGGGTACAAACCCCCCAAAAAATTATAAACAAAAACTCAGGGAATTCAGCACGGTCCGAGAGGCTCCAGACTGCTCCATAATGCACACTTCGCAGTTCATAATAACATTTCAGGTAACGAAGTAGCGTTGTTACTATCTCCTCACATTCTTCTTGTCACGAAATGAAATTTCACAGTAGCGTGAAGAGTAAAAGTCTGATGGCAGCCAGAGGCTGACTGCAAAATCTTTTGTGTACTGGAGTCGGGACGAGCGCTAGAATCGTATCTCATCTTCTGGTTACTCACCTTCCGTGAACGTTTTTCTAGTTTTTGATCCCGCTATATAAAGTAACGAAGCAACATACGGTTGATGTACCGAATTCTGTTAATGATAATTAAAAAAAAAAAGTTTTTACCTGCTGCCCTTGCGACAGCATCTCCTGTAGTCCCTCGGCAGTCTGCTTGTTGTGGGTCGTATCCTCAGGAATTTTTTAAATGCCTAAGGAATTTCAGTCTTGCTTTAAGTATCCTGGGCAATACTGCTAATGCTTGATAAAGTTTCAAACCTCCTGGTAATATTCTAGTACTAGGGTACGATTTATCAACTCAAGTCAGTGTTTGTGTGATCTATAATTTAAAAAAAAATATAGAGATCTGGAGAGTGTTAATGCCTGACTAGTGACGATACTAACTCGTTTTCGCTAACCTTGACTCACTTTATACAGATAAGTTTTCTCACCTCTCCAGCCACAAATAGGTGACACACACACACATACACACACACACACACACACACACACCTAGTAGCGATCAGTGAAGAGGCGGGGCCAGGAGCTCGGACTCGACCCCCGCAACCTCAACTAGGTGAGTACACACACACACACACCCGTACCCCTCACACACAAATACACAAAAGGCCGTGTCCATCGCCAAGTGCCTTTGACAACTAGTAACTACCAAACACACACAAACTACATTATATGGCTGGAGATGTACAGTTAACATTAGGCTCTGGTTCAGTCTGTATCCTTCAAACCTACACACCCACCTTGACCTGGAAAGACGACCTGACGGACGGGTCGTGGGTGCTGGACCTCCTCCAGGATGTTGTGTGGTTGTGAACGCCGGTGATCCCCACCAGCACTACCACAGTTAACAACCACTTCATTTTCTGTCACTGCTCCTTACAATGTGGCTTCCAGCTGGGTAAGAACAAAGTTAAGTCCGTTAATATAGTATACGAGGTGATCTTGATTTGGCTTGCAGTCGTACAATAACAATAACATCAATAATAATAATTATTAGTATTAATATTAGTATAAACAATAATGCCAATAATAATAATCGTGTTTATAATAATTATATTAATAACAACAATTATTTTATTAGTAGTAAAAATGATAGTTATTTTACGTAATCCTACTTGAGTATTACGTCCCCTAGAACAATTACTCTCTCACTTGGTTCAAAAGTTCCTAAACACTCGCTTAACATCTCCCAAAATCTCTCTCTCTGTGTCCTCTACACTCCTCTCTTCTCCAGGTGCAAACACACTTATTATGACCCACTCTTTGCATCCCACCTTTATTTTACTCCACATAATCCTTGAATTTATACATTTATATTCCCTCTTCTCTGTCTATAACTGATCCCTCAGCAATATTGCAGTGGTATGGTTTGTTTGCAATCGTGTTATTACGATTTCGTGAGTTATTATTGCTACAACCTTCCCTAGCTCTAGCTCTCCCAGATACTCCTGGCTTAATCCCATTTATTTCTCCCCTTCAGCTTTGTTTCGCTTAGAGCTAGGACATCCAACTTCTTTCCATTCATAATAAAGGAATCATTTTTATCTTGGCATCTGCACTACATCCACTCACATTCAAACATCCATATATGTAAGGTGAGTGTGTGTGTGTGTGTGTGTGTGTGTGTGTGTGTGTGTGTGTGTGTGTGTGTGTGTGTGTGTGTGTGTTCAGGAAGTAATAAACAATGAATAAAGAGAAGACGAGGCCCCGGTGGCCGGGTGGCTTAAGCTTTCGCTTCACACACGGAGCGCCCGGGTTCGATTCCCCGCGGGTGGAAAATATTTCGGCGTGTTTCCTTACACCTATTGTCCTGTTCACCTAGTAGCAAATATGTACCTGGGTGTTAGTCGACTGGTGTGGGTCGTATCCTGGGGACAAGATTTGAGGACCCCAATGGAAATAAGACAGACAGTCCTTGATGAGCGCACTGACTTTTTTGGGGTTATCCTGGGTGGCTAACCCTCCGGGGTTAAAAATCTTATCTTATCTCCTATCTTAACCATAGTCTTGGCATACAAGGGCGATCCAATGTTACGATTCCTTTGTGTTTAGTCTGCATCAGTGTGTCACAACACTGCGTGCGTCACCAGTTAGTATAAAACTTAAAAAATATATCAAACTCTTTCTTTCACTTTTATAAAAAAATAAATTGATTATTTTTTGTAAAGGTAATCTGATGTTTAGTTTTTAAGATATTGTGTTTAATTTCCCTTCACAACTGATTAAAGCTGAGCTAGATTACGAATACATTAATTACCAAAAACAAAAAAAATTTTTTTAACAAAGAATAAATATTACACACAAAACCGGCACAGAGAAGCAGCAGAGAGAGGAGACCACCAGGCCACGGGCCTGGTGGCACGGGGCCTGGTGGCCACGTGGCCTGGTGGCCACGTGGCCTGGTGGCCACGGGACCTGGTGGCCACGGGCCTGGTGGCCAGGGGGGCCTGGTGGCCACGGGCCTGGGGGCCACGTGGCCTGGTGGCCACGGGGCCTGGTGCCACGTGGCCGGGGTGGCCACGGGGCCTGGTGGCCACGGGGCCGGGTGGCCACGGGGCCGGTGGCCACGTGGCCTGGTGGCCACGGGGCCCTGGTGGCCACGTGGCCTGGTGGCCACGGGGCCTGGGGGCCCAGGGGGCCCTGGTGGCCACGTGGCCTGGTGGCCACGGGACCTGGTGGCCCGTGGCCTGGTGGCCACGTGGCCTGGTGGCCACGGGACCTGGTGGCCACGTGGCCTGGTGGCCACGGGACCTGGTGGCCACGTGGCCTGGGGCCACGGGACCTGGTGGCCACGTGGCCTGGTGGCCACGGGACCTGGTGATCACGGGGCCTGGTGGCCACGTGGCCTGGTGGCCACGGGGCCGGATCAGGGGGGCCTGGTGGCCAGGGACCTGGTGATCAGGGGGCCTGGTGGCCAGGGGGCCTGGTGGCCAAACGTGGCCTGGTTGGTCACGGGGCCTGGTGGTCAGGGGGCCCTGGTGGCCACGGGGCCCGGTCACGGGGCCTGGTGGCCACGGGACCTGGTGGTCACGGGGTCTGGTGGCCACGGGGCCTGGTGGTCACGGGCCCGGTCAGGGGCCTGGTGGCTAGGGGGCCTGGGGGCCCACGGGGCCTGGCGGTCACGGGGCCTGGTGGCCATGGGGCCTGGTGGCAAAAGCTCCCCGCTTCACGCAGCTGAATTGCTGTTTGGAACACTTATGTGTGAACTGTGACTATGATATACCTAGTGAAACACAAACATGTTGATTTGAAGTGGCTGCAGGAGGCTACACCTTCACTCCACCTCGCCTCTCTCCCCTCCTTCCTCGATTTGGAACTCAGCCATTCGCCTCTATTTACTTATGGTCTAGAGGCGGTTTTTGCCAGACCGCACAAATGCTTGAGTGCCCGTGTCAGTCCTCCGTGCCGCACTCCATTCATCTTACGAATATGTCTCCTGTGTGCCTACCTGCCTGCTACAAGCAAATATCCAAGTGATTGACACGGGCTTAGCAAGCACATTCAAGCAGGCTTGAAAGCAGCATTCCAAGGCCCAGCATGTCTACGTATACGTTCTACAGTGCTGCTGGCATACCAGTGTTTCCTGCAGTGGCTTAGTTAAGAACAATTTAACGAGCATTACAGTACTAACTTTTTAAGTGGGACATGCCAGAGGTTCACCTATAAACATAGTAAGTTTGTGGTGTTAAGTGCTGCAGATTTGTTGTAACTATTTGCACGAGTGGATTTCACTGACTTAGGACATTGTGCTACCATCAGTACCTACGTAGGCTTAAAATGAGTGAGGAATGTCTGGCCTGCTGGGTGACCTTGAAAATGGCACTATAAGACCCGCATGCCACTTACACCCATACTGCGTGTGTCTAGTGAGGTGAATGTCCCTTCCTCGACTTTCCTATTCACCGGTATCCCTTAACTCGTCGCCATTATCTACATATGGGATAAGGGCGAGTTTAGCTGATCCAGGCTAAACAGCGCTCCAAGCCAGCCAGTGAAGGCCAAGTTACAGAATGCCTTTGTGAACGTTCTACAGTGTTCCGGCCGTACCTTCAGTGTTGTGAGAACTAGTTCTTGTGTTTACCTGGAGTTTACCTGGAGAGAGTTTCGGGGGTCAACGCCCCCGCGGCCCGGTCTGTGACCAGGCCTCCTGGTGGATCAGCGCCTGATCAACCAGGCTGTTGCTGCTGGCTGCACGCAAACCAACGTACGAGCCACAGCCCGGCTGATCAGGAACTGACTTTAGGTGCTTGTCCAGTGCCAGCTTGAAGACTGCCAGGGGTCTGTTGGTAATCCCCCATATGTGTGCTGGGAGGCAGTTGAACAGTCTCGGGCCCCTGACACTTATTGTATGGTCTCTTAACGTGCTAGTGACACCCCTGCTTTTCATTGGGGGGATGGTGCATCGTCTGCCAAGTCTTTTGCTTTCGTAGTGAGTGATTTTCGTGTGCAAGTTCGGTACTAGTCCCTCTAGGATTTTCCAGGTGTATATAATCATGTATCTCTCCCTCCTGCGTTCCAGGGAATACAGGTTTAGAAACCTCAAGCGCTCCCAGTAATTGAGGTGTTTTATCTCCGTTATGCGCGCCGTGAAAGTTCTCTGTACATTTTCTAGGTCGGCAATTTCACCTGCCTTGAAAGGTGCTGTTAGAGTGCAGCAATATTCCAGCCTAGATAGAACAAGTGACCTGAAGAGTGTCATCATGGGCTTGGCCTCCCTAGTTTTGAAGGTTCTCATTATCCATCCTGTCATTTTTCTAGCAGATGCGATTGATACAATGTTATGGTCCTTGAAGGTGAGATCCTCCGACATAATCACTCCCAGGTCTTTGACGTTGGTGTTTCGCTCTATTTTGTGGCCAGAATTTGTTTTGTACTCAGACAATATGGTTGAGCGAGTCACTCTGGGAGTACATCAACAGAGCACGATCACGTCTGCTATCAACACTAGTAATGCTGCTGGTGTTGACACCATCTGTCTGGCTGAGTCAGCTGTCAGTCATACACCTGACTCAGCTGATCGGGACTTCATACTTCCTGATGACGCTAGTCTTGCTGGGGTGGTACACAACATGCAGCTGCGCATAACAGTATTGGAGAAGCAACAATGGTGTTTGAAAAACCCCCGGGGGGGGCCCCCCCCAAATAAAAAAGGGGTTTTCGGCCCCCGAAACCCCCCCCCCCCCCCTGTTTAAAACCCCTTTAGGGGGGGGCCCCAAAAAAAAAAAGGGTTTTTTGGGGGGCCCCCCCCTTTTTTCCGGGGGGGGGTTTTTAAAGGGGGCCCCCTTTTTTTTCTTTTTGGGGGGGGGGGGGGTTTTTTTGGGGTTTCCCCCCCTTTTTTTTTTTTAAAAATTTTTTAAAAAACCCCCTTTTTCCCTTTTTTTAAAAAAACCCCCCCCCCTTTGGGGTTTTAATTTGAAACCTAAGCGCCCCAAAAAATTTTTTTCCCCTTTTTGGGGGGTTTTAAATTTTTTTTTTTTGGGGGGAATTTCCCCAAAAAAAAATTTTTTCCCCCCTTTAAACCTTAAAAAAAATTAAATTTTGGGGGCCCCCCCCCCTTTTTTTGGTTTTTTTTTCTTTTTTTTTGGGGTTTTTTTTGGGGGGGAAAATTTTTGGGGAATTCCCCCCCTTTTTTTTGGGGGGGTTTTTTTTGGCCAAAATTTTTTTTTTTTTAAAAGGGGGGGAAACCCCCGGGGGCAAATAAAACCCCCCCTTTTTTTTTAACCCTTTTTGGGCCAAACCCGGTTAAAAACCCCCCAAAGGGGGCCCCTTTTTTTTTTTTTGGGGGTGGCCCAAAAAAAAAAGGGGAAAAACCGGGAAAAAAAAAAAGGGGGGGGGAAAAAAAAAAATTTTTTTTTAAAAAAAAACCCCCCCCGGGGGAAAAAAAAAAAAAGGGT